ATTTGGGGGGCTGGGCTATCTGAGGAGAAATGTGGCTTCAGGATTGGTGGAAGATCTATCAACAGTCTGTATTATGCAGATGGCACAACCCTGCTAGCTGAAACTGAGGAGGACCTGAAGCACTTGCTGCAGAGGGTCAAGGACTGTAGCCTTCAATATGGATTTAGCCTCAATATCAAGAATACAAAGATTCTTACCGCTGGACCAATTGGCAGCATCAGGATGGATCGTGAAGAGATTGAGGTTTTCACAACTTTAGTTTGCTTGGCTCCACAGTCAACTACACAACAAAAATCAATATTACACACTCCATAAATCAATTTTATACCCTAGTGGCTTGTGGGTTGCCATGATGCTGGAAACTATGCCACTGGTGTTTCAAGTAACTCCAGGTAGGCGAGTCTCAGCAGAGCTTCCAGGCTAAGTTAGTCTAGAAAGGAAAGCCTGAACAGCTACTTCAGAAATTTAGCCAGTGCAATTCCTATGGGTTTTCCAAAAGTGTGTTGTCTGTCTGGTGGCCATAGGCTATAGCAAGTTCCATGGCTAAGTCAAAGGCTGCATGTCTCTGGCAGCTTGAATCCACTAGGGAGCCTCAGAAGCAGAATGAGCATCTTTTCCCATTGTTATCAGCACTGTGCTCTGGTGAGTTGCTATGAGTCAGAAACACTTAAAGGCAGAGAATGTGAGTTTATAGTTCCAGAAGTTCAGCCTCCTAGATTGGATAATACTCAGAATGAAGTGGGCACAACAATGGCCATGTACAGTGTGAGAGTACAGTACTGGAAAAAATTTTGTTCTGTAACTTACGCAGTCAACATGAGTCAGAGGCGCCTTTATGGAAACGGAACAAATATGAAAGTGACTGCAAACCATGTAAATAGATTTCCTCACACCAGAACTATGTGGACCCTTTTAACTGGGCTTCAAACACACATGCAGATACTCCAAAGACATTCAACTCAAGACACACGTGCAGATACTCCAAAGACATTCAACTCGAGGGGAGATCAGAAAATAAAAAGATGGGCTCCTAGCTAGTTGTAGTTAACACAGCTTGTTTCAACTTGACAAAAAGTTCACACCTTTTGCACACCACCAAGGTTTCCTCTCCTTCCAGGGTCTTGGAGAATCATGCGTGAGTGAAGATCCTGCAACTTCAATGTCCTCTTCGTGGTTTTGAGATTGTCTCTCTTCTTACATTATCAATTCAACACGTTTTAATGTTTGATGGGAAAATCATAGCATATATAAAATATTGCCTCCAATGCAGATTTACTGATGACAGATGTTTCCACAGTCTTATGTTTGACCTCCTATTACAATCATTTGAACAAAATTGCTCATTATACTTCCTATTTCTTTCTCTCTCTTTTGATGAACAGATTTTCCTGCCTTATTGTAAAAACAAATGCAACAAAACCTTCAACAATTACCACATTCAATATTTTTTAATTCTTCCTTTTTTTGTTAATTTGGAGGAAAAGTTTGCAGAGCAGATTGATTTCCACCCCCATTTAATATTTGACATTCATTTTCTGTGTTACGACATTGATTGCAATCCCCACAGAATAACAAGATATTTTTCCACTTCTTTCCTGTGTTTACTATTCTTACCAACCTTCTTTTCTATTCCTCCTCTTTTCTGAGAATTCTGTATGGGCATATGTTAACTTAAAGTTAAGCCATGGTTGTGAGTTCAGTTCAAAACATAGTCCTAGGTTTTCCTCCCATTTACTATAACCATTGGAACCTGGATTGTTTTACATGAGTTTTGTTCCACTCTCTTGTTTCTTCTTCTTTTTTATTTCAATGAAAATTTACAGAGACTGGATTTCCATTCTCTTGTTCCTATTTATCCAGGCCTTCCCTTTCTGATCTGGTTTAGATCGGTAGGTAGCAGTGTCCAGACACCATCTGTTTCTTCTGGTCTCAGAGTCGTGGAGATGTTATGGTCTGACAAGCCTTCTAACCATGTTATTGTTATTATTGTTGCTGTGTGTCATATAGTCAGAATCAACCAATAGCTGACCCTTCAGTAGGTTTTAAGAATCATTAAATAGGGAGGGAAGTGATTGCCCATCCTTTTCCTGTGGAGCAGCTGGTAAATCAGAACCGTGTGTCTTTGGAATTGCACTGCAGCTTTTTACCACTAGACCATGTTGTTGCTGTGTTCCATTAAGATGGAACCAACTCACAGTGGCCCTTCAAGTCAACAATGTGTTCTAAGAAGATGAAAGCGTGACAAAGTTGTCATTCATTGGCAATCTTATACATCTACAGATGTCTTAGAAGTGAAGTGACTTTCTTATTTATATAAAAAATCTTTAGGTGTTTATTTTCATTTAAAACCAATTCTATGATTTTCAAAGAGATGATCATGGAACCTTAGGATCAATGCCTTAAAGCCTTTTTTTTTTCTTTTCTTCTTTTTCAACATTCTTTTTTTTCCCCTATATTTTATTAATTTTCATAAACATTTACAGTTTTTGGGTTTCCATTCATTCATTGTAGCACTATTCTCTCTACCCTCTTCCCAGTTTGTTCTTGTCCAAGTGCCACAGTGCTTGTCAAAGCCAGTTCTGATTAATCTTCTTTGTCAGTGTGTCCTTTGCCATTCCCTATCACTCCTCCCTGAGAGAGACTTCACCCTGAGTCATAAGGAAAAGGGGATGGCGTAGTCTCTTAGCTACTTCCTGCTGAAAAGGGACGCTGTGGGTTTCAGGGTGAATATCTTCTCTCACTACTCTAAAGGGCCCCTTTGCAGTAGGAAACACATAGACTTTTGATTCCAAGCACCTAAATGTATGAGCTAATTTAGGGCCGTAAGATTTATTCTGCTTTTCTTAAGCATGCAGTTTGAATCCACCAGCTGCTCCATGGGAGAAGGGTGGGGAATCTCTTTCTGTGCCATTTTCTGCTTCTGAAAACCCACTGGAGTGTCAACTGTGGGTCAGTTCTTACTAGACAGTAAATAATAGTAAGGGGGGTACCACACAGAACTTCACAGAAGACTGTAGATGACCATAAGAAAAAAATCCAGTCTGTTAAATGGAATTCCGGTGGCACAACCATGAAATCACAAGGATTTTTTAGATTGTTATGTTTACATTTTAATGATCATCTTAAAAAGCTTAAGATACACATACTCTAAATCATCTGAAAGATGACCTTTAATCAGGAAGGTGATTTTAAAACCAAAAGTTAAGGTCTAAAGTCACTGTGGTCACTGGCACACCATGTATAACTTTTAGAAGAAAATGAAGGTATGCGTGGTTTGAGAGAATTCTCACCATTTGTATGGGAGTTCCAATTTTTGTTATTGGCCAACGCATCTTGTGAGCATACCTATCACTTGAGCTTTGTATGTTACTAGGATGCTGAAGAGATTTTAGTGGAGTTTGCAGACTAAGTTGTACAGAGAGAAAAGCATGGCCATCTACTTTTGAAAAAATAACAATTGAAACTCCATGGATCATGATGGCCTTGACCTCACTGTTATGGGATAACCATAGGTCAGAGATGAACTCAACAGCACCTATCAGAGTGACAAAAAGAACCTAAACAGAGCCAAGTTCTATTCTTGCAATGTTCTCTATATCCAGGAAGGACAAATGAAAATTAAATGCCAAAATTAAGATCTCACAGTAACTTAAATGGAAAAAAGCAGTTGCAATCCATGTTGTCACATCACATGGCATAACAAGGATGTCACACAGTTGAAAGGCCCATTGCTAGCACATTGGTACCTGCTTCAGTCAACTTAGTCTCATCCTTTAACAGTACTTAGTTCTCTTCCATTTTTGAGGATACAGGCTATGTGGCTTCATTCTTAGTTAAGTTTAAAATTTTCAGTTTGCAATTTTTATATAAATAATGTTTGTCTAGATTTTAATTGGTACCCAATTAGTAATAAAAAATACTTTGAAGGATAAAAATACTTTGAGTCAACAGTGGAAGTTAGGGAAAGTTTTCTTTTAGAAGGAGTTTGTCTAGTAAGATTAAAAACATATGTTCTAATTTATGTAAGTCTCCTATAATTAGTGTTTCCTATTCCAGTCCCTCCCCTCCTCCCATTGTTATCTTGTTAGGTTTTGGAATGCATGTTCACCCCTTACTCGACTTTGACCCTTGGTTGTGTTTACTAAATAAATGAGTTAGTTGATGTTGCTGCTGCTGTTATGTGCCACTGAGTCACTTGTGACTCATAGCGAACCTCTGTACAATAGCTCTGCCCTATCCAGAGCCAGTCTCACCATCTCTGACACGCCAGCCCCATTGCCCCAGTTACTGAGTCAATCCATCTCATGTGAGGTCATCTTCTCTTGTGCCATCCCTCCACCCTTCCAAGCATGATGATCTTTAAGGACTGGTCCCTCCAGACTATATGCCTAAAGTATATGTGAGGGAGCTTCAGAATCCTTGCCTCCAAAGAGAAGCTTGGAATATTCAAACATTCACTGGGGCCACCTCGGTGGGTAGATAGATATCTGCCAAGGGAAGCAGGTATACACAAACGTCTGGGTTGAAGTTTTAACTCTTTCTTTCCCAAATATGTTGGAGTTCTAAGAGTCATTTGGAGAATGGCTTTCTAAGAATTCCTTTCCTCCTGTTAATATGTATACATGTGTGGAAGTATCAGTACCTATCATCGATAATGGTTAATATCAAACGAGAGGGCTAAGGTGAGCATTCAGACATCACTTGTGTCCAGAGAAACAGACTTTTTAAAGAAGTTCTTAGTTGTTGTTTTTTTTTGTTGATTATTTTTGTGGGTTTTTTTTCTTTTTTAATTTACACTGGTTTACCTGCAGAGTTTGTATACCTTGCCCTTACACCGGAACCTTCTCCCACTCCACCTTTAGCATTGTCAGGAGAGTGGAAACACACAGCAGCCAGCCATATCTCCTTATCAGTTATTTTTTTAAATGTACCCCTACTCCTGGCCTCTCTTCTAGCAGCAGTTTAACGTATGTGCTTCTTTCTCACCTTGTTTATTTCAGATGCCTCAGGAACAGTACACGCACCACCGGAGCACCATGCCCAGCTCCGAGGGGCCGCAGGTATATAAAGTGGGGATCTATGGCTGGCGGAAGAGATGCCTGTACTTCTTTGTCCTCCTCCTGATGATTTTAATACTGGTGAACTTGGCCATGACCATCTGGATTCTCAAAGTTATGAACTTCACAATTGTAAGTAAAACTATGAGGGTTTCTGTAGCTCCATTGGGGGACTTGGTGGGGTGGAATGAGCGGAATGGATGATAACATAGGATTGAGTAGGATTAAGGATGGGGCTCAGGTTGAAAGGACTTCTCTGACTAATGCGGTCACTTTTCTAACCTCAGTTCTTCAGAGACTAGAGTTTCCTTTTGGGGTCCATTTTGATAACTATGTGCCTGTATTGTACATCTTATAAGAACCTTGAGTCAAAATTGCATGAAGAAATATGGGAGCTATTAGAAATACTAAATATCCCCCTGAATTTCAGTACTAACACTGAAAGGTTTTGTAAAGTAGAGAGTTAAAGCATTTGAGTAAGATGAGATTTTGGAAGTGATTTGAGAATTATAATCCTCATTTTACTTAATTGAAAGCTGCTTCATTTTGGAGCGAGAGAGGAATTCCCTTTGTTGATGCGGGATTTAGATTTTACCCTACGTGCTTGCTTACACTCCTGTAAGGAGTGTCTTGTATATGATGGTTCAGGAACACCGTGCAAACTGGACAGTTTGTATTTGTATAGTTCAGTTGCAAAGACCACCCTAACAAAATTGATCCTGACTTTATTCTGAGATTGCTCTAAGGAATGTGTTTTTCCTTGGTATTATCACCTTATAAGGCTTGTCCATTATTTGACGGAAAGCATCTGTGTTGTAATATTAAATCTGAGACAACAGAATTTGTGCAGCAGGATGGAAAACAATGCTTGATGTGAAAGTTAAAAGCGGAGGTTCATAGGACTTGGCCTTTTTGTCAGCTCACATTTGGAACTTGTGTTTCCCTCGCCAACTTTTTGGGTATGTTTTTTTTTAATATATGCTTGCATATTATTTGGCATGGTTTTAATTTTCAGAACCTGACACCTTTTCAGGGATGCGAGAATGAAAAATAAGAATTCAAAACTTTAATAACTGTGATATTACATAAATATGGCTTCTGGAGTGTCTTCTGGCAAGCTTAGTAATAAGTGTTTGTGAAAGTACATGTAAATGGCTATCTAGTGACAGTTCTCTCTGCATGAATGAGCTTGGGAGCAATATGACTTTATAGTAATAATCTATAAAAAATTAGTCATTTCCTGTAGTTAACTAAATTGATTGCCAAAGCTAAACGTTCTTGAAGCTTTACCAAACCAAATATCTATTAAGGTGAGAATAATGCCATTATTGCCCATAGTTGCTGCTTTATAACAGTAATTCTTTTGAGCAAATAGAGTGGAAGTGTTAGAAAATTGTTCTTGCTCTGTAAGATCAAAACATTTTTTCACCTAAATCACTGTATAAATCATATTTTTTTGGAATTAAAATCTTATTTCATAAATAATAATTTACTTACAGCAAAATTCTTGAAAAGGAACAAAGTATTAGCAAATCAGAATTGAACAAGATATTTATGAGTTGAAGTGGCAAGTAAACCTCCTGCCATCAAGTCCATTCCCACGCATAACTACTCTCTAATAGGAAGGAACAGACCTGCCCCCGGGGTTTTCAAATGCATCTTATGGAAGGTGCAACTAGGGAGCTTCTTGGAAGCACGCATAGTGAAACTTTGTCTCACATATTTTAGGCTTGTTGTTAGGAGGGGCTAGTCCTTGGAGGAGGACATCATCCTTATCCAAGGAAAGGTGGAAAGTCAAACAAAGAAAGAGAAGATCCTCAGTTAGATGAATTGACACACTGACTGTAACAATGGGCTTGCTGTTCTGTTAAATTTTGCTATTCTGACTGGGGTGAGATGATATCTCATAGTTGTTTTGATTTGCATCTCTCTTAGAG